TGGCTCACTATTGAATCTAGAATCAGAAATTACTCATCCTTATCATGCTCTTCTTAATTTCCATTTTTGTTTTATAATATATACCATAGTATAGCAATATATTTGTATAATTTGTAAATAAGTATACATGGAGGAGTTAGTGCCCCCAAAATTTTCATTGATAAAATTGTGCAATCTAAAAGATTTAGAGACCGTTGTTCTAGGGATCTGTCATTGGCTTTGTTATCTTTAACCCATCACAAAATCTCAAGAGTTGAGAAATATGGCAGACTCCTAATTCAGCCCATAACTGAAAAAGAACTGCCCTCTACGATGTAACCAAGAACCTTTGTTTAAAAGTCTCTAGGTGAGGATAACCCACTACCTCCTAGACAACCCATTCACCTTTTAGATAGCTCTTATTATTGGGAAGTTTTTCCTCCATCAACCCTAAATCTGCCTCTGCAGTTTCTACCTGTTACTTCTAGTTTTGCCCTCTGGGACCAAGCAGAACAAGACTAATCCTTCTTGCACATGACAGCCTTGCTTCTACTTGAATATAATGATTTCACCTCTCCTAAGTCATCTCTTCTCTATGCTAAGCCTTCCTAGAACTTTCAACCAATTTTTTTGGGGGGGGGTGTTAGGCAGTGAGGTTAAGTGACTTGCCCAGGGTCAACACAGCTAGTAAGTGTTATGTGTCTGAGGTCAGATTTGAACTCAGATCCTTCTGACTTCAGGGCTGGTGCTCTATCCACTGCGCCACCTAGCTGCCACCCAAGCAATTCTAATATGGCATTCTGTTGCACTTCTCCATTCCAGTCATATTCCTATGGAAACTCTCTAGCTATCAATGTCCTTCCTGAGTTGTATTATCAGAACTATATATGATATTCCAAAGGTGGTCTGACTAGGGAGGAATACAGCAAGATTATCAGCTTTTAGTCCTGATCACTATGCCTTTCTTACTATAGGCCACAATCATCTTAGGGTTTTTTGGTCACTCTTATCACATTGTAGACACTTTGATCTATAAGTCCCCTAAAGCCTCCATGTCCACCTGCTACCTAAGCACCCCTTCTCAATACTATAGTTATGAAATTGTGGGGTAAATTTTTTTAACCTAAATATAACATAGAATATAACATAGCTAATGAAATCTAATAAAATGAAATTTGAACCCAGACCTCTGATTCATTACTCTTTCCCACTGCACCGTGCTGCCTCCACAATGTTAGTGAGTGCAGTGGGAACACCATTGTATTTCTCCTTGGGAAAATGTGGACGTTTGCTTTTTTCCATTCTTGTCATTTCTGTCTTCTTCTCCATGCTGTTTGAAACAGCCCTGACAATGACTCATTCTTTTAGTACCCTATAATGTATTTCATCTGGACCAATTACTTGAACCCATCAAGGAAAGATAGGAGCTTTCTTGAGATCTCTTGGGTTTAGCAATTTTTGTTCTGTCCTTTCTTGTCCAAAAATCATTCTCCTTGAAGGAGAAAACAGAAGCAAAGTGAGTAGAGCAACTTGGCCAGCTGTCTGTTGTCAGTTGTCATTGCCCTTGTCATGCCAAGGAACCATCCTTTCATGTTGTTGCATCCTCATTTTCCACAATATAGTTTAAAAACAACAACAACAAAAACCTTTTTGTTTCTTTAGCTTTCCTCACCAGCCTCACTTTATTCTGAATTTTATCATTCCTGACACTATTCTTACAAGATTATGCCATGCTTTTTAGTCATTCTGTATTGCCTACCCTTGCTTCTGTGCATGTATTTTTAAAGCCTTAAGTTGGTTGTAGTGAGTTTTTTGTGCATCCACATCAATCTCTTTAACAATTTCCTTTTTTCTTCTTCATGAGAATTGTTTCTTTCGTGTCTTTAGAACTTCATTCTTTACTTCCCTGGGTTGAATTGTCTCTGTAGAATACCTATGCCCCTTGAGTGGAAATCTGTTCCACTTAAAATCAAGGGTGCATTTCAGACTCTTCTTGACTTTTCTCTCATTCACTGTCACAGATTCTAAGCTATTTGCAGTCTACTTCTCCTGAATATTCCCATCATTTCTACTCCAGCAATCAGTTCTTCCCTTTTGGTAAGAATCAGATCTGGAATTTAATTTCCTTTTGGTATTTCCTTCATTTTTTGAATGATGGGATTATTATTAAGGCAAGTCAAGAAATCATTCCTTGCTTTTCTTCTGGAGAGAGAGCACTAGAAGTTTGAATACTCCAAGTACTCCCATCCTTACTATACCATGCCTCTGTGCTAGGTTTATGATCTGTCTCCCGAACTCCCATCTATTTTCTCTTTCTATATGAGTGGTTTGTAGTGTGCTCTGATGACAGTATTACTTCTGTTTCTGCTACTGCTGGTGTTTACCCAGATGTTTTCTCTCTTAGCTTCTTAGATTTCCTCACACACATGAATATATTCTTAACATAAAATACTATTTTCCTCCCCACTCTCTTCTTTACCCTATTTCTTTTGAATAAGGTATACTCTTCCAGAGCCATCTTTCAGTCATGTGTCTCATCACACTGTCTCAGTTTCTTACGAAGTTAAATATGCCTGTGTGCAGTAGCATCTCTAGTTCATCTCATTTGTCATCCTTACTTGACGAATTTAAGGATAGGTATCTGAGGCCATGGGTTTACAACTCACTGCATTTTTGGATTTTTGTCTTATGAATTTCTGTGTGTCTCAATTGCTAATCTTTTTCCTGCCTTGTAACTACTCACTATTATGTAGGAGAATAGCTTTTGTACACATTTCTACTTCCTTACCTTTTTGTTCTGTTCCATTTGAATATGTTATACCTATTCCAGTCATTAAATCATTTCCCACCAAATGTCAGTGGATATGCTTATGAAGGTATATTCATCTTCTCAAATTAAAAACCTGACTACAGATTTTATGTGGGGAAAAAAGTGAAAAGTAATAAATAGGTTTTGGTTTTTGAGTCTTGGTAGCTAAGATGGTGTCATCAACACAAATAGGAGATTTAGGGAGAAGTATGGGTTTGGGGGTTAGACATGAGTTCAGTTTTGCACAGACAGTTAGAAATGCAAACCTGCCAACCACTCTGCCCAACGATTTGGAATGATGCTAAAGAAGTGTCTAAAATATCCATTCATACTCTTTGACCTAGAGATTTCCTTTATTGGACATATAGCCTCGTGGAGATCAAGGACAGAAGAATGTACAAAATATTTATAGTGGCACTCTGTTGAAAGTAATGCTAAATAAATTATGATATATAAATTAATGGAATATTACCAAATCATAAGAAATGATGAATAGGAACAATATAGAGAAGCATGGGAAGACTTACCTGAATGGATACAAAGTGAAATAAGTGGAAACAAGAAAACAATAAACAGTTTAAGTGGAAGAACAACAGTAGCAACAACAATAACAACAACAAACACCTGAATCCTGTGTCATATGATGACCAAGATTAATCTGAAAGACAGATAAGAAAATGCATCTCTCTCCCTTCTTTGCAGAGGTGGGGCACTTTGAGAACAGAGCATTGTATATATTGTCGGACTTGGTTGATATGTTGGTATTTTTGCTGAACTGCTTTTCCCTCCCTTCTTTTTCTTTGTTTTGGAGCTAAGCAAAAAATATATTCTTTTCTTTTTTTTAGGCAATTGGGGTTAAGTGACTTGCCCAGGGTCACATAGCTAGTGTCAGGTGTTTGGTCTGAGGTCACATTTGAACTCAGGTCCTCCTGACTTCAGGGCCGGTGCTTTATCCACTGCGCCACCTAGCTGCCCCAAAATATTACTTTTTTAAAGAAAGAAATGCCAGTTTGGAGCTTAGAAGAGAAATCAGAACTGGAGATAAAGATTTGGGACTTAGATGCTTAACGGCAATAATTAAAGCAATGAAAGAAGATAAGATTGTTGATGAGGATAATTGGGAACTAAAGATAGAGTAGCCACATGCCCACAACTAGGTAAGAAGAAGAGACAAGGAACTATTTCAAGATGGGATGAAAGGCAGGATAATTCACCATCATAGAATCTGAGGGAAAGAGTATCATGGAGTGATGGTCAAAAATCGAATGCTATAGGATGGTCAAGGAGAATAACAACTGAACAACAGCATAGTAATTTGTGACTTTAGAGGAGTTTCAGAAGAGGAGTGAGCATAGAAGCCACAGTACAAGGGGTCAAAGAATGAGTAAGTGATAAAGAAGTAGAAGCAGCAAAGATTGACCAGTATTTCAAAAGCATGGCTTTGAAGAAGAAAAAAAAAGAGGCATCAGTAGTCTTGAAAGGACAGCATAGTCAATGGAAGTTGCCTTTTTTTTTAAATTTAGGGAAATGTGATCACAGTTGTAGGAAATACTGAAGAAACCATTAGGGTGAAAAGACTGAAGATGGTAGACAGTGGGGACAGTTTGATAGAGCAAGAGATGATGGGGTGGGATAAGATCAAAGGTTCTGTGCAAATACGCTTCATGAAAGAGAGAAGAAGAGGAAATGATGGGGTATAAAGTGCCCGTTCTGTTTTCTAACAACTAGGATTTCCTCTTACTCATTTTCCTTCCTTCACTTTCACCAGAACTCCATTAAATCATGAATTCCTTGAGAGCAGGGACTGTTTTTGCCTTTGTTTGTATCTCTAGGACTTAGCATAGTGCTTGGCTCATAGTAGGTGCTTAATAAATGTTTGACTTGACTGCATTTCATTTTGCTGTAATATGCAAGAGTACATGGAGTCAAAATAAGTACAATGTTGTCCTAATTTTTTACTAGGCCTATATTTATTCAACAGTGGAATCAAGAAACAGCTTGGCTGTGCCTAAGGGATATTTTCCAGGTTCTGTACAGAAATAACCTTATGCAAGGAAAAAGCTATTTATGCTGCTACACATGCAGAATCTGCTGCATGCAGAATACTGCACTAGTGTCTTATAGTTGAGATTGTACTGCCACATTGTTTCTGGAAGAGTTCCCTCTCTAATATAGATCTTTCTTTCCTTTCTTCTCCATCAATTTCTTTCAGTGACCTAGAGTCTCGACGGGATGTGAAAAGGGAAGAAGGAGAGGCCTTTGCTCGGGAGCATGGGCTTATCTTCATGGAGACCTCAGCCAAAACCGCCTCTAATGTTGAAGAGGTACTGCTCCAAAGGGAGTGAAGAAAATGATATAGGGACTACCAGGGCATTATCCTTACCTTTCCTTCAGAACTCCCTTCCCCAATAGCACAAAATCTTCATGGTAAGGAAAGGAGTGGTTTTAATGGATCAGGGGAATAAGTGCCCTCCTTTTATGGAATTATTCCATTTTTAAAACTCTAGTTCCTAAGTGTTTTTTTCTGCCTCAAATAACATTAATAAAATGTGGTTTATACAGCACTGTTGGGTAGCTGTATAACTGATTAGAGGCCCACAGTCATCTAACATTTTCACCAGTGGTTTATAGGATAAGGAAGATATTCATTCATTTTTTATATGATCTGTATCTCCCTTCCTTCTTTGCAGTGATGGGGGCTATGCTGGTGGAACATTTCATATTCCAGCAGACTTGGTTATATTGGATAATTTTGCTTAACTGCTCCCCCTTCCCCTTTTTTTTATTCTTTGTTACAAGAGATGGCTTTCTAAGGACAGATGATTGAGGGATATATTTGGAAATGAAGGGGATATAAAAACAAAAGATATCAATATTTTTAAAGTTTGAATATGACACCAGTCTGGGAAGATCTTGGCCCAATACTGAGGATGGTACTGAAAATCTTAGGAAGCATTCTCTAAGAATCTTAAGACGGACTGTGGAGTGGTTATTGAGACTTCCTATGATTTTCTCTCCTATCTTCTATAAATCCCCTTCTCTGTATTTAGATATAGCTATTGCTTCTTTCTCTTATTTCTCTATATTCAGCTCTTCTTGTCTCTGTGTGAATTGATTTGTTTCCTTAGGCCTTCATTAACACAGCCAAAGAAATATATAGGAAGATCCAGCAGGGCTTATTTGATGTCAACAATGAGGTGAGAGGGGGTGATGCATGGCCTAGCACTGGTTTGTCTTATCCTAAATAAGATGAGGATTTTCCTAGAATGTAGGTTTCTCCCATCTGTTGCCTTTCTATTTAAACCAAGGCAGTTTAAATCTGATTCTTCATATGAGGACTCAAGAGATCCATTATTTCTTTCTGGTTTCTTTTGATGATGCAAAATGAGTGGTTGAAGAAATAAATGGTTAGTAATCTGTGTTGCCAGACTTATTTTCATTCACTGCTTCAAACTTTTTTTACAGTCTTGGGTATAGGGAAGTTATAAACATTATCAATTAGAAGGTTTCATCCTCTCCTATACAATCTGGAGTAAAAACAGAAGGGAGAAACTTTTTTCCCATTTCTATTCTCCCCTTTCCCTCTTTCCTTCCCATCACATGTATGCATTTTATTGTGGCTCAAAAATTTAAACAATAATAAAAGCATATATATGCATATATATGTATGTATGTACACACACGCACATACATATTACAAAAACAAAACCCCTACTAATTCTAGACAATCATATGTACATTTCTACTACAGTTAGCCATTATATAACTGCTGACAGACTTTGCAGCTGTATAATGTGCATCTAGAAGAAATGTTCACCTTCCAAGGCCATTCCTGCCCTTTGGAGAGTGTGATCAGTTTTTGGTTGTTTTTTTTTAATTTCTCTCTCCCTCTTTCTTCCTGTCTGTTACATTTTAGTACTAAGGTATGGGGATATTTCTTATTTTTTCTTACAGGCAAATGGCATCAAGATTGGTCCTCAGCAGCCAGCCTCAGCATCATCAGGACCCAGTTCATATCAAAGGAATTATGAAGGCACAGGTGACAGCCCTAGCTGTTGCTGAATTTCTGGCCATAGTATCTGGTCCTTCTTGGGACAGACTCCTCATGCAGCAGACTTGAGGAAAGAGGTCCTGGCTGCTTTGGTCAGGGGAAGCCTCATCCCCAAGTGTGATATCCTGCCCTTCTACCCGACTAGGGAAGAATTTGTGCCCTTAACTGACCAGTTCCTCTTTAGGGACGTGAACATTTCCTATAGATTAGGGCTCCTCTCTTCCTTCTCCCCTCCCAATTCCCATCCTCATATTTTAATTTCTAGATTGTTAGGGGCAAGGCTGAGACTCACTAGAGTTCAAAGATAAGCAAACACTGATTTTTCTTTTAGCACAACCCTGCTGCCCATTATGAATTGTTAACAAGTGTCAGAGATCTTCTGAATGAGCATGTCAAAGAGTAAGGATCTGGTGTACCATGTGGGAATAGATTTGCCAACTTGGGAATTTCAACAGCCTTTTTATTTCCTTCCCTTTGGGAGTCTATTTGCTACTTTTTCAGAGACCTTGTAGGGAATACATGGTTCCTGCTGCTAGAGCATTAGAGATAATGAACAGTTTTCTATGTCTGTAAGCAACTCCTTTGCATTCCTAATTTTTATCTTTTAGGGTCCAGTTTTAAAGAAGTAAAATGAACTTCTTGAGGCAGTCTGGGAACAATGGTCTCTTTCTGTTTGTAAGACCTAGAGAAAACAATCTTTATTCTTGTTCTTTTAGAGATCATATCTAGTCAAGACCCTCAAACAACTGAATCTTTACTATCTGACCAACCTCATTTCACTACAGATCCTCTATAGATCAAGCAAATCTGCTTGCTCTCCTAAGCTTGTTACACATGACTTTTGTTTCTACCTCCTTGCCTTTTCACGTGCTAATCCATGTTCTTCAACATATTGAGTTTAAGAATAACTTCTAGCATGTGTCCCAAAGTCAGCCCCACTAAATTCTAGTCAGTCTACTCCTCAGCGCCCCTTCAGCCTTCGTAAACTCAGTATTATGTTAATTTGCACTTTTTGTTTCTTTGTAAATATATCATCAGTTGTTCATGTGGAGGACTTATCTTCCCCACATAGAGTGTAAACTCCTTAAGGGCAGGGACCATGTCTTCTGCTGCTTTTCTCCTTCCTTTCCAATTTCCTCACAGTGCTTAGTGTTGCACATAGTATGTACTCTATAAAGCTGACTGACTTAAAAGACATAAAACAGCCTTACTGTATGCCTTTTCTGAGGCTTTGGAAGCACCTTTTAGGAACTATATCCCAGTCTCTTCCAACTGCTAATCCTGGGATCCATATTTCCATTTTTTCCCTTCTTAGGATCCATGTTCATTTGTCTTCCCTCCCACCATTTCCAAGATCTTTACTTCCATTCCATGCAGACCTATATAGGAAGGCTGGCTGCCGCTAGGCAAGCAAATCAGCATGCACTTTTCTAGTCAGTACTATATTTCAAAAGCATATGATGCTATCTTCGAAAAAATTTGCTCTACTCCCATTCCCCATCATATGTCTTCCCAATCCAGCCCCTGTATCTTTCTGCTTAGGTCACTCAGTCACCCTTTTCCACACTGGTGCCTCTTGGATTTTCTTTACTTTCTTTTTTATTATTATTATTATTATTATTATTTTTGCTGTTGAATTGTTTCATTATTAAATATATGCATGCGTCCAATCTGCTCACCTTCCATGTGTCATTTCTGATTGTAACTGTGGGAAGGCGGTGGTCAAAAGAAATTTCCCTGCTGTAGGGGACTGGGTCAAAGTTGTTTACAAAAATTTTCCTGGGACCAGGTCTTGTATTGGCTATTGAGCCTAGACTTTTGCCTTGGGAAATGCTACATATTCCTTCTCCACCTGGAGTCAAACCCTTTCCTTCGGGGTCCTCCTGGAGCGAAGCTTGGCAGGTGCCTCGAGCTAGATTCAGCACCCCAGGAACTGACAGCTCTCGGGAGAAAGGTGCTGAGTAAGGCGACTCTCTGATCTCCCCTCTCTGGGGCTCAGCCCACGCGGAGTCCAGCTTTTCTCCTACGCTGGGGGTGGGAGGTGGGGAGGCGCAGGGTCTGGCCTACGTTTGGGAGGGAGGGAGGTTCGGGGTCACAATCGGCGGTGTCTTCTCAAGGACGCCCCATGGCCCCCCGCGCAGAACTAAGGGGAGTGGGGCAGAGAGGCTGGAATGAGGGTTTCAAAACTACGTCCCCCATACTCAAGCACCCCCACCAACCAGTCCGACCCAAGATGGCCTCCCAGAAGCAAGTCACTAAGTCTTTCACTCCACAGCTCCCCCAAAAGTCGGGGATAAAAAAGATGCTAACGACTTCAAACCCCTGGGGACCAGGTTCGTGACGACAGTGCCACCTCATTTTGTTTTTAGTCAGGCACTGCCTCAGCCTCCTACGAACTCCTCTGCTTCCTAGGACCCCACCTTCCCTTCCCTCCAGAGACTTCCTGGATGGCGCTCACACTAACATGCTAGAATGAGTCCGGGTCCCGGCTACGCCATTGGTAGTTGCAAAGGAAAGTGGGCGGGGCTCAGGGAGAATGGACTACCAGCAAGTTAGGTTGAGGCCGGGGCTGACCATGCTCCGCCAGAAGGCGCCTTGTTCTCTTAACGGGGTGAATTGAAACCCTCCCCGTAAAGGAGGCAACTAGACTCTTTCAGGTAGGCTTCTCGCTTCCATCTCCGCGCCCCTCGGTTCTTCTAGGTGGATCCCAGGGTATTTCCGAGATCTAAAGTTAATCTTCATGTAATTTCAATATATAAGCTCCACTCCCCTTCTCCTCTTTCCCCTCCTCCTCCTCCCCTCCCCCGATAATAATGGGGGATCAGGTGCTACCGGGGGATGCTCCGGACTGAACCATTCTCCTTTGTGAGAGGCGTAGGGAGGGAAGCGGCATCTATGCAGGAAGAAGCGAGGTTAAACCGGGGGGGCGGGGAGCGCTGTACATTGCAGTTATTGCACACTGCCTTGTAGCGTTTGTGTCCTTGCATTACTGGGCGTGGTGTAGACTTGTAGCAGGTCCTTCCTTCTGTCTTGTTCCCTTCTCTCCCTGAGGAAAAAAAAAAAACCCAGTTCAGTTGGTCTCCCGCACTGGAGTGTGAGGTGGGAGGTTGGGTTATTATAAAAAGGCAGGTGGGGGAGGGGGAGGTAATGTGTTGCGGGGTGGGGGTGGGGGTGACAGAGTTCTATATTCTGGTCTAATTGTGAGTCTTTAGTAGAAGAGGGAGGTGGGCTGCATGTGTTTGGGGAGAGGGTAGAATGATTGGGGATTTCAGCTTTGCGCCTGCATTGACAGGTCTGCGGGGCTCATGGATTTGTTTTCTGTTGCATTATGTAAACTCTCTTGGAGAAAGACCCCGCCTCCCACCACACACTGAATTCAATTTCTTTATTTACCTGTCTAGTGTCGCAGGAAATATCCCTGCCCATTGCAGCAGCTGTGGAAATGCAGCAGCTGTAGGTTTTTAAAGGGGCAGCCACACGAGTGGATGAGCTATTGAAAGGTGAGGTACGGGCTCGATTTCTTGGGTTGTAACTAAGCAGAGTGAGCGAAAAAGTCATCGAATTAGACTCTAGAACTTAACATTCCACTTAAGACCAAGGCAGATAAAAGGTACTGAATTGAGAGCCCTCAAGGCACTTTTGGGCAGCTACATTAAATATTCCACTGCTTACTTACCAATCTTACCAGTGTCCTTAAACCATGCAGACCTTTTTGTTTTCCTGAGCCTGTCATCTGTGACAGGAATGATTATAAATTATCAGCATTAGCTAATTGAGGACCCGCTGAGGGTATGACAATCTCTAGGATGCGAGAACTTAGGTTTGTGATTTTAGCACCTTCTTTTATTAACCGGTCCATGTTAATGGTTCGCCGGTACTAATTTTTTTTTTCGGTACTAATTTTCTTTAAGGGCCACTGGATAGATAGCAGAGGGAACATTTTTTTAAAGAAAAAAAAATCGTGGTCACTGCTAGTGGTTCGAAATGTGGGAAGCTCCTTATTCTGAATATTTTGGAGTCATCCAGTCCCATAAGGGGAAAGGAGTTATGATAGGAAAAGAAACTGTTACCATTTGAGAGGCCCTTCTATGTTTCAAGTCTGGAATGCCAGAGAGCCTGCAAGGCAGGATGAAGGACATTGGTGAAGTAATATATATGTCTCCATTTGGTTGGGGGTGGGGAGAGTTTAAGACTGGAATAGCAAAGGAATGGTGGGTCAGGATAGAAGGGATTTGATGGAGCTGTATGTGGGAAGCTTGCATGGTTCACTTCTGCTCTATATTTAGTTCTAGCTAGTGCATTTGGCCTTTTCATTTTGCCAGTGCTCAAATTGACAAAGTTCATTTAGATACTAAAGGAAATAAAATTAACTTGCTGAGCTGATTGTGAATCACTAGCAAACAGTCCTAGTGTTTCTTTCTCTGCAGCACTGCAGGATGATGAGGTGGAGGTTTGTTGACAGTGTGGTATTCATCTGCAGATTGTTGGTTGGAATAGGGTTAATGGAACATTATTGTGCAGGAAGAGTAGTATACTGATAGTTGACCTAGGAGACAGCAAAGGATTCAAGGGATAGTGTTCTTCAGAGCACCTGTGTCAGAGAGTTGTTATGAGGATGAAATGAAATAATATATGTAAAGCACTTCTGGAGTAAACCTTAAAACCCCCATAGAAATGCTAGTTATCTTCATCAAACGACACTGTCTCTTGTCAGTCTGCTTTGGGATTTCTAACCCAGGTGTACTGTTCAAGAGATAAAAGAATGAGAACTGTATTCCCATGTAACTAGCAGAAGCCTGTAAGGGGCTATGAGAGACAGTATCATTTATATTCCCTAGGAAGAGTTATTTTCTCCCAAGCTGACATTAAAAAGCCTAAAGTAGGGGTATGTGAAGAAGGGTCAATGACAGTGGCTATTTACATCACTGGAATCCACTTAAGCAAACTCAAACCTCGTAAGACTGATTCGGGAGATTTCCTGGACAGATTTCTTGAACCTACATGGAAGGGAACCTACCTTGCCGAGACTGACCTGGAACAATTACTCTAGGATTTGGAGGGAGGGACATTTGGCCTGTTCTGAGACTGTTATGTTTTCCATGCATAGATTGATGTCTCTCTTAATGGAATAAGTATGCAGTTCAGATTTTTATTTCAGTTATGTGGTTTTGTTTTATGATTGTATCTTACTCAGTTTAATTCTACTTCTTTCTATAGCCTTTTTTCCATTAGTTGATTAGTTTATTCTCTATACCCTGCTAATGGCCATTTGACCGGAAGGTACACATACCTGTTTCTTTCAATTGCTTCTCTCTGATTTTAGTTTCCTTTCTTTTTTATTATAATTCACTGACTTTCCTTTAATTTTTCTGTGTCTTTCTGGTATTGAATGCCTACAGCTGAAGTAGAATCCAAAAGATTATGAAGGCCTTCCCAGGACTATATAAAGAGCATTGTCCTCAGTTGAAGTGTCTTTGGTACATGGTACCTAAGAGACGTTTGTGTTTTTGCATGATGCTGTCTGTGTTGTGATTTATTGTTCCCTTTATTTTATTTTATTTATCATTTCCCAAACTTTATTTGGCCACTACAATATTCTGAATTTTTAAGAAATGTTTTATTGCTGCTCTCCTTTTTTAAAAATTAATTTATTTTGATTTATCAACAGTCACTTCCATATGCTTTTGGGTTTAAAATTTTTATCCCCTTCTCTCCCCTCCAGCCTCCCCAAGACAGCACACAATCTGATATAGGCTATACATTTACATTGCTATTAAACAGATTTTAACATAAGTGCTGTAAGTAAGGATTAGAACCAATAGGAGGAACCACCAGAAAGAGGAAACAAAACTCAGCAGAAGAAAAAAATAGCAAATAGTGTGCTTCAATCTACATTCAAACTCCATAGTTCTTTCTTTGGATGTGGATAGTATTTTCTATCACAGCTGCTCTCTTTTTTAAACATGATTGTGCTCCCCTTCAATAGAACCTCTCATAACAAATTAATACAATCAAACAAAACAAATCAACATATTGACTATGTGAGCAAATGTATGTCTCATTCTATACTTATCGTCCACTACATCTCTGCTTCCAGTCAGGAGACATGCTTCCAACATCAGTCATTTGGAATAATAGGTGGACACTACAATGATTAGAATTCTGAAGTCTTTCAGTGCTATTTTTCTTCTAAATTTTTCCTGCTCTAATTAAACCTCTTTTTCTGGCTTAACTTTCCTTAGCTTCATCATTTCTTTATCCTATTTTATTTAATCTCCTTTCCATGTCTCAAAATTTTTTACTTCTTCTGTCTTTTTAACAAATATAATTATCGGGGCAGCTAGGTGGCGCAGTGGATAGAGCACCGGCCCTGGATTCAGGAGGACCTGAGTTCAAATGCAGCCTCAGACACATAACACTTAATTAGCTGTGTGACCCTGGGCAAGTCACTTAACCCCATTGCCTACCCCCCCAAATGTAATTATCCTTTTTATTACCAATCTAATGATCTCTTTATCTTGATTGTTAAGGTGTTTTAAAATTCAAACCAAAACTTCATGTTGACACCACCACTTGACTGAAACTTCTTTCTCCAAGGTTGTCAATGATTTCTTAAATTACTAAATCCTAGGGCCTTTTCTAAGTCTTTATCCTTCTTGACCTTTCTGGGAATTC